AGTAAAGAATTGGATTCAAGGGCCGCAATTGACAGAGAAACATTGGAAACATTAAAATCAAATTTAGTGGCAGAAAAGTTGAATACGCAGCAAATGTATACAGTTTTGGAAAAACTTGGTCTCAGTGATACCATGTTATCACTTCCTTTGGATAACATACTAGAAAGGTAATTAGTAAAATATATTTTATTAATAGAAATTAAAAACTAATTGGTAATTCGTTGTTTTCAGAATTGCACAAAATGCCGAGGTAGTAAATCTTGTTAAAAAATCGATTAAATCAGAGCCTTCTCGTTATGGTTTGATCATCGAGTCTGAATCAAAGAAAACAGACGAAAATAGTCAATCAGATCTTAATAATGCCTTACAAAAAACAGTTGAATCATTAAAGGTATGTTATTGCATTTATATAATTCATTCATTAAAAATATGGACATTTTTTGACATTCAGCAATTTTCAGAAAGAGCAAGAACAATTGCAATCGAAATTAATCGCGACGGAAACAATGTCGGAAAATCTTTTATCGGACAATGCAAAGCTTCAAGTGTTTATAACTACTTTACAATCTCAAAGTACATCGTTGGCTTCGCAGCATACCGCACTGCAGCTCGCGAATTCTCAACTTGTCGCTGAAAAAGAAGAAGTGAGTATATAAAAAGTCAATTATTATTTACTGATCTTTATTTATACGTCATATTATAATATCATTTTATTTTATATTAGCTTTTGAAAGAACGTAGCATGCAACAACGAGTACATTCGGAATTACTGCACGATCAGGATACGTTACAATCATTACACGAACAATTAAATAACGAATACGAGAATCTACTTCACGAGCGTGAAACTCTTAAATCCAGTTTGAGAGATGTAAAGAATGAAATGAGAATGTTGCGTGAGTCCTGTGAGAGATTGGAATTAAAGAATAAGGGTCTTCTCACAGACAAAGAAACGTTGATTAGCAATGCCAAGAGTTTAAATAATTTAAGAGGAGAACATTCCAAGTTAACGGTACGTTTATCATTAATTGATTATTTTTATAATAAAAAAAAAAATACGTATAAATAGATATGTTATTAAGAAAATAATTTACATATTAAAGTAGGTGCATATATTATTAATCGTTTTATTTATTATTGTTCGTAGGATGATTTTAGAAATTTGTATACAGCGGCGGAGAAATTAAAAAGTGAATACAGAAATTTACAAGAGGAGTATAGAAAAAATAAAGTAGAAATGAATAGATTAAGTTTGAAACAAACCGAGATGCAAGGTGAACTTAGTACTAAAGACGAACGATGCTCTAATTTGGAGGTACAATTGAATGCGTTGAATCAACGATGCGAAGTATGCTTTTGTAATTTTAATATTCTCATATATATATTTATTTCTATAATATTTTGTTTTTTTTACTAATTTGATTTATACATTTTAGATGCTATTGCATATGAATTCTGGTCTAGATAGCGATAGACGTTCTTTAATGGATCACATAACTTTACTCTTTAGTCAATATCATGAACTTTTGACGCATTCACTCGAAGACAAGGAACACTATCATATGGAAGAAAAAATGTACACGTAAGTAAATTCCTTTGGATATATATAGATCAATTTTATGCTAATTATGGAAGAACTTTTATAAATATTTTTGCTGTTTCTTTCAATAGGGATAAAGTTAATCATCTGTATAGGCAAAAAGAAAAATTAGAGGACAAAATAATGGAACATTATCGAAAATTAGAAAATTGTAGCACTAAAAAGTAAGTAATAAATAAAAATATTATTTTTGTGAGTATCACATTTTAATAATCTTTTATTTTTTTTCTAATAGGAAAGGATTTGCTCTTGGATTTGTTCGTAAAGTTAAAAAAGCAAGTTCTGAACTTCTAAATAAGGTACTATCAAAATCTATACAAGCTTTAATACAAATTAACTATTTCTATATTCTTTCATAAATAATTTATAATGTAATATAGAAACGACGATCTTGGGCTGACGATAGCAAACAATCCGAAGCAAAAACATACGAATCAGAATCTGGTGGAAACGACTCCGATGCAAGTATCGAAGATCATCGAGTAACTGGTAAAAAAATCTTCTTAATAGTTATCTAAAATTATTGAAACGTATAATACGAAATATTAATTAAATTCTATGTGTGTGTGTGTTATAGGATCAGCTAATAATAAAAGTTTAGGGCCTGAAGGATTTTCATTAGGTCATCCAGGAACTAGAAGAACAGTTTATTATAATGATGACTCGCCTCCACCTCCTGCATCTTTACCGGTAAGATGTTACATATGATTTTAATATAATTTATCCTTTAACAAGGTGTTAATAGGAACAGGAAGACGATAGACGTACGGTTCACTTAGATCAGAATTTAAGGACCGAAACGCAAACGGAAGCACGTCCATTTTTAATCTATAACAAAGTATCAGCAGTTATAAACGAATCGAAAAATATTAACAGCCCAACTACGAAAGATATCGTTCAAGACGAAGGCCTTACAGAAACTCCAACGAACAAGGAGGATATTAGAACGGGTTGTCCAATTTGGTACGAGTATGGATGCGTGTAAATAATAACCATCATGCATTTGATAGTTTCATTCTGTGTATCAATTGAATTTAACATAGTTAGAATGATAGTATAGCGAAGTATTATACGTACTAAAGATTAGGTAACGTGATAGCATGTAATTTGCGAATTTTAAGAATTACCTTTGTTTCTACGAATTAAAGTTGATACAAGGATACGAATAAGAGTGCTTCCGAGTTCCTAAAATTTGTTCATTGGTTCAAGCAGCAGCTAATAGAATTATTTTATCGACTTTAAACGATGCTTTAATTCGTTATTAATTTATTATTCCATTACTTACTTACATTTTTGTATGTAAAAAGAAATGAAATTTTCGTTTAAAATTTCTTTTTAGAATATTACTATTGAAGTTACTATTTAGTATAAGATTTTACAATCGATTAGAAATATTTATGATCACCTATGGTATACATAGTTTATGTATTTTTCATCATTTTGACGAATTACGAATACATATTTATTTCTATTAAAAAAATCCAAAATGTATGTAGGGTGCTGATTATACAATCTTCAAGCTTTTATAGATAACAAAAAATACTATTACTATTAAAATAGAGGGAAAGGGCAAGAGAAAGAATAAAAATTTGATCTTTTCGTTATTTCAATGATAATAAGTTCTATAATGGTACAAATTTTGTGCAAACGAGAGCACGAGTACGTTCATTCGCAACAATTATTACATTTCTTAATTTTATGCGCTTAGATAGAAATCTATTTTATTTGATAAACAACTTTTTAATATTTTTTATTGTACATAATGTGTCAGGCTAAATTATATTTTTAAATCAAATTTATTACGAGACCAACGAAAGTTAAAGAAAAAAAAATTAATTTAATAAATTATATAATTAATTTACTTATTACATTTAGTCGCATTTATTATAATATTTTTTTTACAATTTATTCGAATATATATATATATTTATGTACTTATATAGGATAAGTTTTTTTTTTAAATACGATTTGTATTAGCTTCTAGCTTATCTCATCATTTACTTGCCATTAATGTGTTCTCTTTAATTATAAGTTTTTCCTTTTTATATATATATATATATATTTTAAATTTATATATACGTGTAATGCGATGTAATTTGTAATCGTGTGTTATGATGGAAAATCGAATAAAAAAAAAAAGAGAAAAGAAAGAACGAAAGAAAGAAAGAAAGTAAAAAGAAACAATAAAATTGACGAATCCATTACATTGACCAACGTAATATGACGGAAGTAATAAAAAACGTTTGAAGCTTCGTATATATATATATATATATATACAAGGACAGTGATAAAGAACGCTATTGAACATCTACGTTTCTTTTATCTCATCCCCGATTCTACGGAATTTAATTGGAAAGCAATTTTCTACTCATCGTAGTCGACCCCCCCCCCCTCCCCCCGTTTCGAATGTAATTTTTTTTATTTCAATGCACCGTGAATTTACATATTTCGCAAAAGTGAAAAAAAAAAAATTTCCCACCCCTTAGGCTCTCTCTTCCTCAGGTATAAATTTTTTTGTTTTCTTTCTCTCATTGCGGACGCGCGCATATTTTCCGTGGGAAAGATTTTCGCGAAGCGTTGCCGGAATACTTTACGATTAACTCAACGTCGATTAATAAATATGCTGAATGAGACAACGTTAAAGAAATAAATGAAAAATGAGAGCGAAGAGAATCGAAGTACCGCGAAAATTTCAAATCATTTGTAGATTAAGTTCAACCAAACTTCTCCACCTCCTTCTTCTACTTGGTATCAAAGAAAAGTCTTAATTCTAGAAAAATTGACTCTTGAAAAATAAGAGTTTATAAGTACGACAACCTATAAAAATGTCGGTTCGCATAAGCGGGATAAAGAGGAGGAGAAGGAGGAGGAAGAGAAGGTGGTATTACGTTCCTTAGCGCGCGAGGGTTGCATAAAAGGGGAGGTAGTAGTAGTAGAAGAAGAAGAAGAAGAAGAAGAAAAAGAAGAAGGGGGTGGGGTGGAGAGGAAGAAGTTTTTAGAGAAAGAAGAAGAAGGTTTCTCTCTCGGCCTTTCCACCACTTGTTCTCTCGACGAGGGGTGACGAGTGGTAGGGCTTTTTTTTGTGGTTACTCGGAGTTGGGGTGGTGCGGGGAGGAGCGTAGATAGAGAGGATAGAGAGAGAGTAGTGGAGGATAATACAGATGGGGCTGCACTTTTCTGCGGCGTTGAAAATGGAAAGACGCGAGGGATGCGTCGGTTTTCGCAGTTGCGGTGCGAGTGAGAGCGAGAGGGAATAACAGAGAAATAGAAAGAGAGAGAGTGAGAGAGTGAGAGGGGTGTAGAGTAGTTCGGTATCTCAGCGTAGGAAGCGTGGTGGGGATTAAGGTAGGAAGGTAGAAAAGTGGGGGAAAGATTGAACGCCGTTGGTGGGAGGCGGCGCAAGGTATCGAAGTTGCGCGCGCAACTTCTGTTCGCGCGCGCCATTCTTCGAAAGGTTCGTAGTCGCGCGGCTCGCGCAGTCGGCGTCACACTTATCACGAGTGGAGTGTGCGTCTCTTCTTCTTCTTCTTCTTCTTCTCCTTTTCGCGTCATTCTCTCAGTTGGTCGGAATTAAAACGCGAACAAGAAAGCTCTTTTTATCATTATCAATTAACAACGACGACGACGACGACGACGATCTACTCGCGAGTTATTATATCATCGTAAAAAACTCGACGAATAATATTCTCCCTCTCTCTCTTTCTCTCTCCCTTTCTTTTTTTTATTACTTTTTTCATTCCCTACTTCTTTTTTTATTTATTCCGTCTCTTTTGAAAGAAGCCGGCCGGCAAGTAGGCGCAAGTAGTTTGCAGTGCATCGCACGTGGTTCGCGCGCACGCATGCACGTTTTCGCGATTAAACAATCTATTTTGCACATTAGTTATTTCTATTTATCATTATATTTTCTATCAACTTTATAATCGCGAATATATAAGAAGGAAAAAAAAAGAAGAATCAGTGCGGTAAGGCGTGTGTTAAAGATCAAAAGAGTTTTAATTATACTCTTTGTTAAATATAAATAAATAACAAGGAAAGAAAAAGGGAAATTCAATTGATCGAAGCAGAGTCTGGCGCGCACGTCATAAACGTATAATCGTCGAATAAATAACACAATATATATAAAAATCGTCGTGTGATCGTCGTCATTGTATTTTATTTGACGGGTGATTGGGTGACTGGTGGGGAGACGGTCAGGGGTACGGAGGAGGAGGAGGAGGTGGAGGTTTCGTGACGTAGTAGTAGTAGTAGTAGTAGTAGAAGAGGAGGTGGAGGAGGAGGAGGAGGAGGAGGATGGAGGTTCGCGGCGCACCCGCGACGGAAGAAGCGGGCACCGGGACTCCTTCACCGGTTCCACCACCTTCGTCATCGTCGTCTTCTTCAACATCGGCGATTTCGGCATCGGCATCGGCGGTGGTTTCGTCGGCGTCGGCGTCGGCGTTGGCGTCGGTGTCGGGGTCGGTGTCGGGGTCGGTGTCGGCATCGTCAACGTCAATTGCACCGACGGTAGCGCCATTGCCGGTAATTGCAGCGTCAACTCCGTCAACTAATTGCGCGGCAATGCCCGTCGCCGCGACGCACGGCGTCGCGAGTCCCCCTCAACAGACGCCCCCGGCTGTCATCGCAGCGGCCATCGCCACCGCCACCGCCACCGCCGTCGCCGTTCCTAAGATTTTCAGCAGGAACGTCAACGGAACTCGTAAGTAAAATCAACGTCTTCCTTTTCTTTTCTTTTTTCTTTTAATAAATCTTCGACTGTATTAACCCTTTGCGAAAGGGAAAATTCTAAGGGAAATATTAATAATGAGTTCAAATATAACGGATCAAGAGATAACGAAGTTTAGTTGTATAGTGTTTTGAATATTACAAAAATGTATGTCTGCTTAAATAAAAAAAAGACGCTGAACTTTAGAGATTAAGTTGCTGAAGAAGTCTCAATAAAGGGACGAAACGTCCTATTAATCAAAACGAAGTTCTAATTCTTTTGAATGTCCAAATTCCCTACGATACCTATTTATTAATTCTAAGGGAATTTCGCGATAATCGTTTGAAATTGTCAACTCTAATTAATTTTTGACTTCGCTCTTAACATCGGCTTACTTGAGTTAAACACATATATGAGACTCTCATCTCTGTCAATTATTTTTTAGCTAAACGCATGTATGAATTTTTCGGTCGAATTGATAGTTTACGCGGAACGCATATATGCGGTGGTACTTCGCAAAGGGTTAAATGTTTTAAGCTGAAAAAGCGCTTCGAGTATGCGCCGTTCAGCGAATACTTTTTCGCGTAATATGAATCTCATCATTATAATATAATACACAATTCAATTGTAATACTCTATTACTTTGAATCCAATCATTTTGTTTATTTTTAATATATATATATATTAAACATATATCTCTGACAATACATATGAAACTAGTAAACACCCAAAGCTGCCACCGTGCGCGCATTTAAATCCATATGCACCACCGATTCTTTTCGCTGGACGCATATATGCGCCCATATGCATTACCGATATGATTTTCGCTAGACGCATACGTGCGTTAATAGCAGTCAAAGGGTTAACTATTAATCTTTTCCATTCTATCACCTTTTTCTAATAATCGTTATTCTTTAACTACCCCTTCTTTTTTGTTTTTAAGAAAACCTACGAGTTCATTCATGGTACTTATGTATAATTTGAAGAATCGTATGTGATTACGTTTACTATATGCTCGAGTTCAAGTATATTCTATAGAAATTAGGGATGATATTATCGATTGATTATATTAGATAGGAAGATAATTAGATTTAATGCAACTCAGGTGACAACCCTTCTCGATAAAAATTTATTATTAATACGTTAGATATTAATTATATTTTGTAATAATCTAACATGTGTTGCATTTCGTTATAAATGCAACGTAGTAAGTTATACGCATAAGTTCTGAAAATGATTTTGTTACCATTAACGAAAATCTCGATTATATTTTATAATAATCGAAGATGTTGCATTTCATTATCGATGCACGTATAAGTTCTATAGGAAAAAAAAAAAACAAAGGAATTTATTTATAAATCATTTAAATTACTGACAAACATTTTATGACGATGACGATGATAGTGATAATGATAATAATGATAATGATGATGACAATATTGACTAATTATTGTAAGGTTATTTTTCTCTCTACGGTTTACGTTGTTATGAAAAAAAATTCGAGTTGGGGAAAAAACAGCGGCGACCATCCGGTCTCTTCGATTCTCTCTCTCTCTCTCTCTCTCTCTCTCTCTCTCTCTCTCTCTCTCTTTCTCTCTTGCTTTTTCTTTCTAGTGGAAGTAGATGACTCACGGGGAAATAAAAAAGTTGGTGCTCGCTTAAGAAAAAGAGACGATTTTTCTTCCTTCTTCGACGAAACTATCGCGGAGGAAGCTCGGCTCCGCCGTCTCGGACTTTTTACGATAAGAACGACGAGCAACGATCTTAGCAAGAACAGTTTCTTCATTGGGGAAAGAATTTTCAGCGAGTACTAGAACCGCGAGATTCTCTCTCTTTCTCTCTTTTTCTCTTTTTCTTTCTCTCCCTTTTTTTTCTCTTCCTTTTTTCTTTTTATTTCAAATATATGCACGCGTATATATGAAAAAATAAAGAAACACGTATTAGAAAAACTTATGAAATACGTTCCAATCGAGTGTACCAAATTGTTCCTCTAATCATAGATGCATAAATAGACAAATGTATAAAACGAAAGAAACATTTTGAGAGATATTATTAATTGTTAATCGCGTATGCGAAAGAGGGTAACTATAATAATCAAATATATTTATCATACATTTTTCAATATATATAATCAAACAATCATTTAAAATATAAGTTTACGATAGAATTGATTTAGTTAATCATTAAAGTTATCAAAAAATAATAGATAATACTTTACTAAGATTTTGATCTATAATAAATATTTCAAATTGATCGAGAGAGAAAAAAGGAAAAAAAAAAACAAACAAAAAAAGAAATATGTTAATCGGAATAGAGAAAAAGAATTAAAAATTTGTATAAACTCTCTCTTACCTTTGACATACATTAGACTAAAACCATGTTGTAGATTATTCAGATAATATATATATATATAAAAGACAATGTTTTTCTCGACAAAAATCGAGTCTAACGGACGAAGAAAAGATAGAACGATGGAACAATCTATGCAATAATATCGTCCGTAAAAAGATAGATAGATAAAGAGAGAGAGAGAGAGAGATAGAGAGAGAGAGAGAGAGAGAGAGAGAGAGAGAAAGAATCGGGACGACGAACGTAGAATAGAACGAAACAGAAGTAGAGAGAAAGAGAAAGAGAAGGATGAGGAAGAAGAGGAAGAGAAAGAAGGGAAAGAGGTAGAACAGGAGGATGAGGAGGAGGAGGAGGAGGAGGAGGAGGTGGAATGGAGGCAACGCTTCGTATCCCCGCGTGATATACGCGGAATGACTCACCCTACGGCAAAAAACTTGGAGTCGAGCAAAAACCTCCTTTTTCTTCCGCCGTCAGCGCGCAACTATTGCGAGAGAGGTTTTTGTAGATTTCTTCTTAGGAGGAAGAGGAGGAAGAAGAGGAGGAGAAAGAGGAGGAGGTGGAGGTGGAGGAGGTGGAGGTGGTGGAGAACGAGAAGAGAACGAGAACGAGAACGAGAGAGGGATGAGAGGGTAGGAAGGGACGCAGTAGGGGGTAGGGGAGGGACGAGGGGGGTAGGGGAAGGGGGAGGGAACGGCGACGTGGCCGTATAAGAAGCGGCTAGAGGACCGGAGAGCCCGGAGCCTTCCACCGTGGCGAAGCACCGCGTCGTTCTCGCAAAAAACGACCTATCTCCTCGCGGTTTTCTACGATGGTTTCTCCGAAAGTCGAAATTACGAGAGAGAGAGGATAGGATAACGTGCTGAGAGAGTCTCTCTCTCTCTCTCTCTTCTTCCACCACCACCACTACCCACCCCCTCTGACTCTTCTATCCTTTTCTTCTTTCTTTTTTTGCCTACCACCTTCCTCATACCTTTTTTTTTTCTTTTTTTCTCTCTGTCTCGGCACGGTTTTTATCTTATATATATATATTTTATGTTATATATTGTCTACTATATGTATATATATATATATGTGTGTGTGTTTTTTTCCCTCTTATGTATTTGTTAGGATAAAGGGGGATATCTATATCTATGTCCTCTCTCTCTCTCTCTCTCTCTCTCCCTCCCTCTCTCTCTCTCTCTCTCTCTCTCTCTTTTTATGTGTTTCTTTCTTCTTACTGTTTTTTTTTCTACCTTTCGGCTCCTTCATTGCTTTTTTATTCTTCTTCTTCTTATTCTTATTCTTATTTTCATTCTTCTTTTCTTTCTCCAGACCTAGTCCTTCTTCGAGAAACACGTAAAACACACGTAAATGTGGAAATCGATTATGGCCACGGCGGCACATCGGATATAATACTATAATTTTTTTTTTTTCTGTTCTACATTTTTTTTCCCCTCTACTCCATCTATTACTACTACTACTAGTATTTCTTTTTTCGTATTGGGTTTTTTCTTCTCCTTCTTCTTCTTCTTCTTCTTCTTCTTCTTTACCTTTAGATAGGAAAGAAGGAAGAATCGATTAGGGGAAATAAGAAAAGTCTTTTGGCTTAACGTACGTTTCGACACGTTCAATTTACAATAGAGTAATATTCTTCTTCGTGATTATTAAAGAAGAGAAAAAGAAAACACACACACACACACACTAACACAAGTAGTAACGGAGAGGAGGAAGGGAGGAGGAGAAAAAAGGGTTGGAAAAAGTGGAGAACGAAGAAGAAAAAAAAAACGCGTGGCGATCTTTGATCGTCGAGACGAAAGATAGAAAGAGATAGAAATAAAAAGAAAAGTAAAGAAATAAAAAGAAAAAGAGAAAGAAAGAAATAATTCGTTGGCAAAGGTGCACGCAGCTGCTTTGTATTATCACGACGCGTACTCTTTCATCTAGGACGGTTTCTCTATGTACATTGGTATGCTATTGCTATGGTGGTGGACGCTTCGTTGGTCGAATCAAAGGGCTCGTCTTTTCACTCCATTCTATCTTTTTATTTCTTTCTCTTTTTCTTTTTCAAAGTAATCTGAATACAATCGAAAAATCGTCCCGTGGGTGGCTGCTTCCGAATAGCCCGGACTAATTCAAATGGTTCACAACATATCTCTATGAAGATATCTCGGTGCCCTTTACCAAAGAGAAAGAGAGAGAGAGAGAGAGAGAGAGTGAGTGAGTGAATGAGTAGAAGAAGGGCAGGCCCTTTTGCCACGAATTTCTATTATCGTGTTCTACTATGAATGATTTACATGTAAATGTAAATCATATTCATAATACATTACTCTCATTTTAATTTTTCATTTACTTTATAACCGTTATCTTTCCTTTTTTTTTTTATATTACATTTGATGTTTAAGAGTTTATAGATATATAATAGTACGAAATGTTTTTCTTTTTTTCATGGATGGTAGATATATTGTTATTTTCTTATTTAACCGTTATATTGTTTTTCATAATTATGCAGATTTTCATTGTTTTTTTTTTAATCATCTATAATGCAATTGCTAACCCTTTGAGTGGTATGGACGCATATATGCGTTTAGTAAAAATTGACACGCGTGTTTATCAATGTTAATGTAAAATAATGAAATATATTTTTCTTGTATCTTATCAGATAAAAA